CATCCATTCATCCATCCATCCATTCATCCATCCATCCATCTTGAATAGGTATGCTTAGTACACAGTAAAGACAAGTTATTTAAAATTAGAAAAATGCAAATGTTGAGGTTGAAAAATGAGGAGCATGCTGACATGCAAATAAATGTAAATGTGGTTCCAGTTAGCACGCCTGCCTTTCAAAGGGAGAGCAGAGATCCGTGGGTTCGATTCCCAGATAAACCACATACTTGGCCCTGCAACAGTTTCAGAACATCTGCTGTTAACACAAGAATTTCCCCAGTGTGGGATCAATAAAGTTAATGTAATATGTAAAAAAAATGTATTTACAACAATATACACAGTGAAGGTGGAGGTCTTCACTTGGTCTTCAAGGCTTCTGTTACACTGTCCTGTGAACAAATGAACATTAAAGGTCAAAAGGACATATTACATTACATTACATTCCTCCTGATGAAATGAACATCAGGAGGAAAGTGCCAAATGCTGATGTTGGTCTCGTGAGACAGGTACCAGTCTGTGTTCAGAACACCCCACCCCACCCCACAGACAGACTGACGAACGTAGTAAAAGTCTAGGTCAGTGGTTTGCTGAATATTTATCTAACGTTGTATTTACAGTAAGTCTCCTCTACCATGTCAAAGACAGCGCAGCAGCATTTAACAAAAACTGATAACGGGAAAAAAGTTAAATTAAAAGTTACCAACAATTGTTATGTCACAGCTCAGCTACACACACACGACATATCACCTAAAAACAGTGACATCATTTCTCGGCGTCAGGTCACTCCGTCCGCTTTGATCATATGAATGCATCACAATCGTCATAGTTCAATGTCTAATAATTGCTTTATAACTGCAGGTGAACCCGTCCACGACAACGGCAGCGTCCCTCAGACTCTAACCAAAACCACAGTGGAGGTTCAGACTCCTCCATCAGGAATTGTTACTGCTAAATGAGGCTCATCTGTGTTGTGGAGGTTCAGGGACCTGGATATACACCAGGACAGAACAATGATCCAAATATACCTCAACACTTGTCTGATACTACTATTTCATATACAGTGGATATGAAAAGTATTCAGACCACCTTAAATGTTTCACTCTTCGTTATATTGCAGCCATTTGCCAAAATCATTTCAGTTCATTGTTTTTCCTCATTATTGTACACACAACACCCCCTATTGACAGAAAAACAGAATTGTTGACAGTTTTGCAGATGTATTAAAAAAGAAACAGTGAAACATCACATGGTCCTAACTTTTCAGAGCCTTTGCTGTGACACTCATATATTGAACTCAGGTGCTGTCCATTTGATGTGATCATCCTTCAGATGGTTCTACTCCTTCACTGGAGTCCAGCTGTGTTTGATTCTACTGATTGAACTTGATTAGGAAAGCCACACACACCTGTCTATAGAAGACCTTGCAGCCCACAGTGCATGTCAGAGACAATGAGAATCTGAAGCTGAAGAGCTCACAGACAGAACTGTGTCAAGGTTTCACCAACATTTCTGCTGCTCTGAAGGTTCCTCAGAGCACAGTGGCCTCCAGAATCCTTAGATGGAAGACGTTTGGGACGACCAGAACCTTTCCTGGAGCTGGCCGTGCGGCCAAACTGATCCTTGGTGAGAGAGGGGAAGAAGAACCCAAAGATCACTGTGGCTGAGCTCCAGAGAGGCAGTCTGGAAATGGGAGAAAGCTGTAGAAAGTCAACCACCACTGCAGCCCTTTATGGCAGAGTGGCCGACGGACGCCTCTCCTCAGAGAAAGACGCATTAAAGCCCACATGGAGTTTGTTAAAACCCCCTGAAGGACGGCAAGAAGGTGAGACATAGGACTGAACTTTTTGGCCTGAATTCTAAGCTGTACGTGTGGAGAAAACCAGGCCGTGCTCAGAAAACCTGTCCAACACAGTCCCAACAGTGAAAAATACCAGAACATTAGAACAAGAAGAAGAAGAAGAAAAAATGAAGGCACCTCAAACTTTTACATTCTGGATAAGAGCTAAAGACTTCATACTTCCCTCTAGTGACTGCATCCAAAAATGACAGTAACATTTTTGTGTTTTGGAACAACAAAAAACTTGGAGTACCAGCTCCTGTTTGTCACTTTCACCTCATCCATTCTCTGCCAAAAGTGAATGCCCTTTTCCTTACTGTGTTTTTACATATTTTAAAATTGCTGCATCCTCCAGCTCTGTGTAGTCTTCTCACTAGTAGAATAAAGGAACCAAAGTGTGTACTAAGTTACTGCACAGTTTACAAAAGGCAAAGACACAAAAGTCTTTTGGCCAGCCTGTCTCACCATTTTGCCTGTCTGTGGGTGTTGGACTTTCAGCTTGTATTTAATATAAGCACGAAGTCCTCGACTGCTTCCAACAGCGCCGGTTGAAGGTTGATAATGGCCTGAGACACAAATGAACATTAAAGGTCAAAAGCACATGGAAACAGTTGATTTGAAGCTAATTCACCAGGAAAACCAAACATTCACTGCCCAGCGGAAACTCACTTCATTTGTTTGCTCCATTGATGTGTGAACTCGCTGAACATCATCCTCTACTGGAGCAGAGTGGAACTGACAGCAGAGTCTTTGGTCACAAGTGGCTGTGAAGGAGAAAAGGATGAAGGAAAGTGAACTACTGTCATTGTGACACACCACTGTACCACTGCACAACCAAATGTGACCTCTGCTTTTAACCTGTCACCCCAGTCAGCAGGGGGCAGCAGTGTGTGGGGACGGTGCCATGCTCTGAGCACCTCAGTTGTAACTTGGCAGCTGGTGGACTCAAACCTGGAACTGTCCTGACCCAAGTCCACTTCCTTAACCACTAAACCACCACAGGGCCATAATCAGAGAAACCTCCAGTTCATAAGTCAATTCTCTCATCACACCTACAGGATATTTTCACTGGGCAGAGTGGACCGCTGAAGAGACACAAGAACCGTCTCCACTTTCTCTCCTCTTGTGTCTTGTCTTTCTACCACCACTGTGTGGAGCTCATCTTTAGTGTTAGTATCCACACAAGTCTGCAGTCAAGGTAAAAGAACATTACACCTCTTTGTGCTAAGAAAGTTGCTGGACTGAAGGAATAGCAGTCTCTTTTCACAAAACAAACTGCTCAAAATAATACTGTGACTGAAGGTACCTTTTGGTGAAACACAAGACGCCTTCTACAGATGGTGATTTATTCAAGGAAGCAATAACCATCACTGCAGAGACAATATTGAACAGCATCAAGAAGAAGAAACAACAACAACAAAACTGTGCTGTAGAGTCCGGTTTGGCCCCGATACAGAGGCGAGGATGGTTGAGGAAATGTCAGAATATTTTTCACTACACTAAGTTTTTACTTTTTGTGTTGAAATAAAAGTAAATATTACAACAAATAGTTAAAGTTGATGTGTTGTAGAATCCAGTGTGATACACTAGTTAGTGTTTTCTTAGTTACATCAACATGAACATTGGACCAAAGCACTGAATGTAATTTAAACACAATAAAAGACATCAAGTTGGAAGTACAGTCTGGGGTGTCTTTTTCTTTCAACACTTCAATAAGTAGAGGTGGAGGTCGGCCATCTTACCATCAGTGTCAGACTGAGACTTATTATTATTATTGTTGAGACAATGACCATGAAAATGTCCATATATGGTCAGATGTAATAAAAACATGAACGAAGTTCTGGCTCTCCGCCCACTCATA